CTTAAGTTTTGTTCCTAATAACAAGAATTAATTATATTATATTATATTAATTAGATTATATTGTTCTATTTTTATAATTTAAAAATTTTCATAATATACAAATTTCTTACCAGATACTTTTTTACAAATATCATTAGTTATTTGAACACCTTGATGAATAAATTCCGCAACTTGTTCAAAATCGGATTCTTTGAAACCACGTGTTGTCATAGCTGGTGTACCAACACGAAGTCCTCCTGGAATAAATGCACTTTTATCACCAGGAACTGTATTCTTATTTGCAGCAATATTTGCTAATTCAAGGACACGTTCAACACGAGCACCATCAATACCCTATTTTTTAATTTATCATAGTATCAACTAAAATGTTTTTATAAAAATAAATTATTTAGTTAAAAACCAACCTTGGATCTCAAATCCATAAGTATTAAATGAGTATCAGTGCCACCTGAAACCAAATCATATCCCCTCTTTTTAAAACCTTCAGCAAAAGCTAAGCTATTTTTTATTACTTGTTGTTGATATTCTTTAAAAATTGGGGATTTAGCTTGTTTCAGTGCAACAGTAAGAGCGGTAATAGTATGATTATGAGGACCTCCCTGATGACCAGGAAATACAGATTGATTTATAGGATTTTCAAGGTCATAGAGAGTTTCTTTATCCGACATATTTTTTTTATGAGTATATAAGTTATAATCTATAACACACTAAAATGATTACATAGTATGCTCACCTCTACCCTTTCCATCAACTTTTCTAACACCTTTTCTATAAAATATCATGGCTCCACGAGGACCTCGAAGAGATTTATGTGTTGTGGTCGTAACAATATCAGCAAATCCAAAAGGTGAAGGTAGTGCACCAGCCGAAATCATACCTAATATATATATATAAAATAAGTTTTAACGTATAAATAATTTCAATCCTAAGCCATAAAATAAACATTAAAATATTAAAAGTTAATTGCATTACCACTTATATGAGCAATATCAGCCATTAAATACGCGTTTATTTTTTCAGTAATTTTTTTCATACGCGCATAGTCATAATTTCTTGGATAAGCGCTAGCTCCAGCAATTATAAGTTTTGGACGATATAACTTAGCCGTTGCTTCAAGAGCATCATAATCTATTATACCAGTCTTTTCATTCAATCTATATGGTACAGTCTCAAAGTACTCAGATACAGCAGATATTTTTTTGGTATCTGTTTGATAACCATGAGATAAACTAACTCAAATAAGAAATCTTTTGTCAGAAAGTAGAAAAATTTTATCTCAAAAAATATATATGTTTGAAAATATGATTTGAACACTACATACTGTCCACCGTGTGGTAAATCTAATCCCATTAATCTTCCATGTGGTTTTAATATTGCATTATAAACATATAAATTAGCCGGAGCACCTAAATATGATAATAAAATACAAGCATGTTCATTTATATAGATATATAGATATATCGACCAAAAAGATTTATAGTAAAATTTATATTGGATTATACCAGATAATGGTTGAACATTTACACCCCATTGAGACTCATCTAAGTCGAATGCTTCTAAAGCTCTTTTTCGACATAATAATTCGGCTTGATCAATGAATTGATTTCCGCCATAATATCTATTAATATTAAATTAAACGAATTTGACAAGTTATAACTTTTTTAAATGTAAATAATAATTATTGCAGCTGATGCTGAGATTGGCTGATGCTGAGGTTCAGACCTATTTCAATATAAATTTTGAATTTTTTTTTTTATAGTTAGACTAGGTTTTAGGGTTAGAGTTTTTAATGAGTACAAATAGATTTAATAGGTTAATATATGGATTTAAATTGAATTCTAAATTTTAGCATCAGCCGATCTCACTATAAAATAATTTCAGTATCAGCCGATCTCAGCATCAGCAGCGACAATAATTTATTATTGGTTGAATAAATTGCCTTGCACCAGGATATCCTTCAGAATATTTATTCTGCATAATTGATCCAAGTGCATCCATTACTGCACGTGACGTAAAATTCTTGAAAAGTCATAAAATCGTTTAATATTATAGTAAAAAAAAACTT